AACCTTCCAAAATTTGGCAAGCCCTAGCTAATTTTATACTCAAAGAACCTTCAACACCCTTTAATTATGTTCCTAATTCTTCATGTCTTTTTATGTGGGATTATCGGATATTGGTTGTTTAATGAATCTTTGGCCATTTGCAGTAATCCTGTTTATCTATTTTAATGCTTAATGCCATAAAATTACTTATCTGATACCTTAAAAGTAGCCCTTGCATAATGCATTTTATTTCCCTAACTTTTCATTTTATTTATATCTCTTGGTTTTTACTGTCTCCTATAATGAATAGATGGGTGATTTTTTCTTCAATAAGCGTTAATGACATTTTCACATTCGGACTATAATTGATGTACTTTTATCAGCTTCCATTTCCCTCTAAGATTATATTTATTAATGCACTTCCTTCCTCGAATCATTTGTGTGACTTCAGTAGCAAATTTTTATTGCCTTTTAAATTAGACCAGAAGATAATCTTAAACTTCCTCTACTTAATGTTTTTAACACCGATACTTTATAAAACAGAACTGTTTTTGCTTTTTCGTCTTGGTAACTTCTACTCATTAAGTAAACTACATAAACTCCCTTCAAATGGAATTAAGACGCATAGCAGTTTCCATTAACCTGTCAGAAACCTTTTATATATGCCACACGCTAGTCTTAACTTATCATCTGATTCTAAAATTGCTATAATCCATTTCCCTCTCAAAGGCCTCTATCCGTCTTTTTAAAGCCCCAGTTATCTCTGGTCTTAGGAGATGAATGAGACTGTTCTAAAATCTAGAGGAGAAATAATGTGTCATCAAAGGGCAAAGGTGACTTGGCCAAGTAAGTTTCAATTCTTCCCCCAGTTCCTTCCGTCCTTCAGTCGCCGTCACAGATCTGTAGCGATCAGCCCCATACCTTGTAGGTAACGTACAGGAAACCTGACTGTGTAACTCACTCTGCCGAGGTGCTGGGATCAAACCGCAAATAGATAAACATCAAAGAACATGACAGTTCCCATCCTGCTTCCAGAAACTTGAATCACATGACAGTTCCCATCCTGCTTCCAGAAACTTGAATCACAAGAAAGGAAGCGTTCTTGTTTGTGAGGATTGTGGCCGGGTCACATTTCGAGGGTACTTTCAAAAGCACCATATTGCCCCCTCCATGCCAGACAGTGTGCCTTCCCCAGAGTATATATTCCAATTTCTGAGTGTCTCCAATTCCTCGGGCGTATTTATGATTCAAACACTGAACAACCTTATTATATTTTCGGCATCCGTTAGCTTTTCTAGTATTGTCATTACCATCTATTTGAGCAACGTAAACTCTGGGCATGCTGCATCTTTGCCTTCCTGCATCACTGCCGACCTTCCTAGGTGCTGCCAGCATTTACAGTCTCCGGAACATAACAAGGTGAGTTCTATGATTCATTAATATGGAATATGCATGATGTAAGTCATTCTTTCCAGCTTCATCTCTTCGACAGGAGTTAGCATCAACTCTTTCCAGTCCTGCTTCTCCAGGTCCGACAGCTGGGCTTAGCTGCTGCTATTATACTTTTCAATCAAACGTAGGCTGCTGTTTTTATAAATTCTGTTTCTGAAACCTCTTATTCAGTTCGGTTCTGGTTTCTCTTAGCATTAACAATTTTTTATGGCTTCACATTTTTCCTAACGAAATCTTCTTCTGATGAAACATCTTACGTTGCTCTTCTATCGTCCCCTAATTCCCCCATTTTATTTTTATAACAATAATAAAAAAAAAAAATAAGTTAAATTTGGAACTTTCCAAACCAATTGAGAGGCTTTCTTTCAACCGACTGTGGAGCTACAAGTGTGACGAGGGCTCATTTTCCAGCCATGTCTAATTAGTTTAATGACTCCTGGGAAACACTGCCCTGATTCAAGGCTAAAGCTGGAGGGAAATGTTCCAGTAATGCCATCAAAGACGACACGCTTCTGATATCCCCAAAGCCAACCTCCCTGGGCCTTAGAATAACAAGAAGGGATTTTTAGCGCAGTAAAATGAAACACCCTTTATGCTTTCGTTTCTCTATGCCAACAGACACACAAATGTCCCACGTGGAACACTTGGCACCCTGGCTTTGCGAGTCTTCTAAATCAAGTTATTCATCGATTCCACGTCCCCCCGGTTGCCGAAGGCCTGTTCCAGAGAAGCTGAGTGGCTGCCCTCCCTCTCGGTGGCCTCCCTTCCAGGCCAGAGACAACCCTCAGCTTCACACTGCGCTGTTTGTCCATCCAAAGTTACAGCTGGATGCGGGCACCAGCAAATTCACCCAGTTCACAGTCTTCTAGTCTCACAAGGCCTCTTTAACAGGAGAGACTGGTTTGGGGGAAGGACTAGGGAGTGAGAGTTTGGGATCTCGAGGCTCCCTCTGCTTGGCCTGCTTTTAACACTTCAGACCTGCAGCTCCGCCTTCCCAGAGGCTGCCTACGGCCCGCACAGCCTCGTTCGCGGTAACGAGCTGGAGCACGATACCTCCAGCCTTTCTGGGCGTTTCACCTTCCACAGGAAGCTCAGAATAGGTTCCCTCAGATGTGAACCCTACATGCGTAAGCTCAGGATCAGAAAGTAAGAAAAACCTTCAATGTTTATTTTTATCTGAGGCATTATAATCAACATTATTTTTGTCTTAAAAATCTACTTTTTAAACAGTGGGCCCTTCTATTTGGTACCCAGCAGTATTTGAAGGAAGTACTGACACAAATGACATTGCTTTTGGTCGACAGTCCAACAAAATAGTGCCAATCAAAGGTGGGGGATTATCCATCATTCGTATATTCAAAGGTAAGTCTCATGGTGCTCAAATAACTGTTTTATTATTGTAGTTTCTTTTAATAAATCAAGCCTCTGCAAAGGCCAGTTTAAAGGCCTATAATGACAAGTTCTCCATAGGGATGAGGGGGAAGGTGGTAGAACATCTGTTTCAATCTGCCAAAGGCCTCACTTGAATTAACTCAGTTTAGGGTGCCCCCACACCAGTGGCTCCCTAACAGATCACCCTAGCCAACTGCCTAAGCATGGAGTCAACACTGCCATCACTGCCCACTGATGGAATTCTCTAGCACAAGCTACAGAGTGCACCTCTTCTCCCAACAAACATGGACTCAAGTTCCATGCCAAAGCAGCAGAGCCAGCGGTTAGGAGCAGGGGCAGAGGCTGTGCAGATCGACACTCCAGTTCTGAAACCACCTCTCATGGGCTGAGGGCTTGAAAGAAATCACTTAACCTTCTGCTGTCCTCGTCTGCCTACCTGAATGAACTGCTGTGAAAAAGAAGTAAGATTTATCAGCAGTGGGAGCATGAAATACATTAGAGTATGCACAGATCCCAGAAGATGTCTTTAAAGCTGTTTTTAAAAGAATGGAAAGATGTCTAAGAACTGAAAGAAAAGCAGCCAAGAAGACACATACCTTTGGTGTTGTAGCACCTCTGAAATCAAGACACACCCGACAGCCGAGAGCGTCTCACGAGAGCGAAAGGGCAGGCGAAAGCTGTGATTTTCTGGTCATGGGCCGTGAATGGGTGAACTTGGTCATAGACATGCAAGTCATCACTTCCACCCGACTCTGCATTGTTGGTACTGCAGAGGTTGAATTTACCTATTGAGAGTGTTTTCTGAAAGATTACACTAAAATCTGGCATTGCAATGAAAAGTTATTGTGTGCAGCCCAGCCGGTGTGGCTCAGTGGATTGAGCGTAGTCCCATGCACCTAAGAGGTCGCTAGTTTGATTCCTGGTTAGGACACATGCCCGGGTTGTGAGCTCAATCCCCAGTAGGGGGCATACAGGAGGCAGTCAATCAATTTTGATGTTTCTCTCTCATGGATGTTTCTATCTCTCTCCGTCTCCCTTCCTCTTTCTCTAAAATCTTTATATATATGGTTATTGTGTACACAAGAAAGCAAGAAAACAGAGCATACATCTGATTAATGGAGGAATGACTACAATTCCATATTTTCTTGCAAAGCAAGAGCCAAGCACTTTCAAGGACTTAAGGGAAAAGGACGCTCACAAAGAGCTGAAACTACACTGCGTTTTGCTTCAGAAACATAGGTAGTAAGAGGAGCGCAACTCATGACCTGAGCTATGCAAGTGAAGGTGAGTGAAAACGCACCGCTGTGGAGTAACTGAGCTGCCTAAACCAAAGGAAGGCAGATGTGACCAACTCATGGAGCTCAAAGCAGAACTGACAGGAGACTGCATGTAAGTAAAAACAAGTCAAACAAACTACCATAGAAACCAGTATGAGTTCAATAAACTATACGTGTGTGTGTGCATGTGTGAATGTGCGTATACATCCGTCTTAGAGCTGAACTGATATGTTCTAGACAGTTAATACTAATTCAGAAGAGGGGGAAGAAATGTAAATGAAGGATGAAGAAAGATTTTAATGTTTAATTGTAATGATTTCTATTTTGTTTGAAATTTTTATTTTCAAGCATGTGTTCGATTTTTTTAGTTTTTACTTCCAGAAGATTACAACAAAACAGTCCGTGCACAGTCTTGGCACCCAGCCAGAGAGGGGAAATCTTCAATGAGTGATAGCTATTATTGTGCTAGATGATACAAAAGAAATAAGAACTGTGACAACCGTTTAACATATGATCCTAGCCCCCAAGGAGTTTACAATCTAGTAGTACTCAGGACTACAAGAGGAGAGATAGATGGTAGACGGACAGATGGATGAGTGAATGGATAGACAGACAGAAAGACCATGAAATAAAAAAGGCTGCTGCCCACAAGCCACATAAGAAATATCTTGTTCAAATCTCAGAAGCCAACAGCGAGTAGCTCCTAGAGTCTTAGAGCACCAATATATACACCCCAACATTTTATCTGGAAAACTAAGGAAGCAAGCTAGGACATATGTCATCACCTCTGAAACCTGTTCAAGAATGACCCATCATTTAATATCCCCAAGACAGGACATCCCAGGCTTGGGATGTCCACGCAGCTCTGTTCCCACCCAGGTCACAAACCCCTCAGTATACCTCACATTTAGGAATGTCTCCGAGTTACCACTTGCAGGAAAGTACCTCTGCTCTTCCCAGATAAAAGAGAGTCCACAACCCCGTTTCCCTCACGGCATCAGTTGATTCTTCAAGAGAAAAGAACAAGTTTTAGAGAGCAGCACAGTACCAGAGTTGGCACCACGCTAATGAACAGCCAAATAAAACTTTGAGAAGAACGTTCTAGTTATCCACAGTTAAAAAGGGAAATAACCTTCGCATGCCTGGGAAGCTGGCTCTCCTCACTGGAGATGCCCTTTGAAGGGGATACGCTCAGAGATAACACGTGCAGGTCAACGGGCACGTCCCCCTGCAAGCCCGGCGTCCCCCTTCTCTGTGCGTCCTCTCTTCCTGCAAATTCATGCACAAAAGAGGACAGCAGCAGACCAGGTAGGCTGCTAGTCTGAAGAGAGGAGAAAGTAAAAAACTCAAGGAAGGCTGGACACTGAACTAAAGAAAACATCAGCTGGAAGGCAGCGTGTCTTCAAGAGCCCGTGTTCTCAAGCGACACACAGAGCATCACTTTGAAAAGACCAGAGAAGAAAGTGGAAGAAAGGTTCTCGAAAACCCCCTTACTGCTCGGGTAGATGATTTTGCCCACCACCTGCAGAACTGACTCAAGTTGTAAAGCCCTTTGATGGGAAGGGAACCGGAATTCCGGGAGGGGAAGGGGAGCCGGAAAGAACAATAAGGGCTCTGTACAGCAGAGGAAGGGGGACTTCCAGGGTTAAGATTTCAACACAGGACTCCCAAGACAAGCGTTCAGGCAGCGTCTCCCTTACGTCCTGGGGCCAGTGCACCTCCCAAGTGTAACATTCAGGGGACCAGGTGGCTTTTAGTGTTAGCTGCTACTAGCCTTTTACCTACTTTCTCAGCATGTCTCTCCCAAGCAAATCAAATACATCTCCTATACATTTAAAACTTCAGAAGTCTGCACTATCACAGCAGGGAAGTGAGAGGCAGAGGGTCAGTCCTGATACATTTCCAGCTAAGAATGTACCTTCACGTTGAACTTGTGGGGCTGCCTAATCCACATGACTAAAAGGTCTCTGGGGAGGAGGGTGACACCTGACCCACTGCATCCAGACACACTTTTAGGATGAGCAGTAATAATACTCAAGAGGGGGCTAGCTCACACTGGGTTAGGGGTTCTCTACGTGGGGTGACGTTGTCCCCAGAGGGCATTTGGCAATAACATTTATGGTCGCCACAACTGCTGGGGGAGTAGGGGGGCTGGGACCGGCATCTAGAACCAGTGATGCTGCTGAAGATTCTACCCTGGCAGGACATTCCCAACCCCCAGCAAAACACTCGGCAGACCAATATGTCAACAGCACCGAGGCAGAGAAAAACTCTGCACCAGACGAACCCCACCCAGACAACCATCTCCAGGAACCCTGACAATCCAGCCCGAAGTGTTTGCCGTCAGCTGGGCTGAGCTGGACCCCGCCACACAACTGCACTCATTCTGGTAACCCTAAACACCGCAGACGACTGCACACGCAGCATCCGCAAAGCCCCGGCTGCTCTCCGGGCAAACCGCTTCAAGGGCACACCTCGGCATCCGAGACCCGTTCTTCCCCAACAACCACATCCCGAGGAGGGCAACGCACAGACGCACATAGACGCACGCACACCCATGCACGCAGATGCACACAAACGCACGCACACCCATGCACGCAGACACACACAGACGCACGCACACCCATGCACGCACACAGGAGTAGCCATCTTTTTTTTTATTTTTTATCCTCACCCGAGGATTTGTTTCCATTTTCTGTACAGATAGAGTGGGAGGGAGAGAGAGGAAGAGAGAGAGAGAAACATCGACGTGAAGGGACACATCGAGTGGCTGCCACCCGCACCACCCCAACCAGGCCGGGGACAAACTGCAACCGAGGTACCCTTAGCGGGAACCGAACCCGGGTCTCTCTGGACCGCAGGCTGACGCTCTAACCACTGAGCCAAACCGGCCAAGGCTCATCTTTTTTTTTTTTAATCCTCACCAGAGGATACTTCTCTATTTATCATCAGCTGGAGTGGGAGGGAGGGAGAGAGAGAGAAACATGGATATGAGAGCGACACATTGATTGGTTACCTCCCATATGACCCTGACCAGGGCCGGGACGAACCACAACCGAGGGACGTGCCCTTGACTGGACTCGAACCCGTGAGTCTCCGGTCCTCAGGCCGACGCTCTGACCGTGGGGCCAAACAGGCCAGCACGGAGCGGCCATCAGCAGCCCTCGTAAGAATCTCCCCGGCTGTCAGATGAGGCACTGACAAACAGGTGCACAGGCAGGAGTGAGGGTGGCCCAAGCGTCTCCAGAATACTCCACACAGGACAGGGAAAGAGAACAAACAAGAAGACTCCACAACACAGATTTGTCCCTGGGGCTGTCTCCCAGCCAAAAACAGTTCCATTACTCCCAGTCGCATCCATGGTCCAGAGTTGGCTTTTCTTTATTAACTGTAAAGTACGATAAACATGTAAGAAAGGGGCCCTGGCCGGTTTGGCTCAGCGGTCAGAGCGTCAGCTGGTGGACCCTCGAGAGACCCAGGTTCGGTTCCTGCTAAGGGCATGTACCTCGGTTGCAGTTTGTCCCCAGCCTGGTTGGGTCGTGCGGGTGGCAGCCACTCAATGTGTCCCCTTTCATATCGATGCTTCTCTCTCTCTCTTCCTTCCTCTCTCCCTCCCACTGTATCTGAAGATAAATGCAAAAATGTCCTCAGGTGAGGATAAAATAAAAAAAAGGAAAGAAAAGGGGAAAACATAAAGATACAGCTTAATGAATGACAGCGAACCCCCCCCCCACCCCCCGCACAATGACACCTCGGGCACAGAAACGGACGGTGGTGGCCGGTGGTGTCTTCCCGCCAAGGGTGCCTCCCACCATTTTGAAAAGATCCATCATTTCCTTCAGCACTGAGATTGTCTGATGCACTTCCCGAAAACACCGGCTGCCGAGTCCGTTCCAAGCAGTGACCACGAAGTGGACAGATTTGGGAAGGGCGTGTCTGTGGAAGCAACGGCACTGCCTGCTAATTCACAAAAGCAGGTGGGGGCAGCACGGAGCGCTGTGCCTGGAAACAGTGGGAATACCCAGGTCGGGAGCCAAGAGAAACTTGAGTTGCCGTCCAAGCTTCATCCTTCCTCTGGCACCCGGGGTATGGATGATCTCTCAGGCACCATAAAATAGCTTCCTGCCATACCATATCACTGGAAAGATTCGGCAAGATCACGTGTTTAGCCTGGCAAGCAGAGTAGCTCACACAAAGATGTTCCACAAATACTGGGTTCCCTTCCCTCCCCCTCCCCCAACCATGCAAACAGGCATGGTGGCAAAGGCCCTGTCTTTAACATGAGAGTATTGGATTATTAACTTTCCTAAGCCCCAAATTTTCTAAACTCTTTTACAAAGGTGGTGATACAAGCCCAATTTCAAGTAACTCTGGTGACTTCGACCAAAAAAAGGAAATGAATCAGTCCTGGAGGCCCAGAATTTACCCTCCTGCTGAGGAGACAGAGGCAGGCGAGGCGGTGAGGGACGCACCACGGGAAGGGAAGGCTGAGACACCGGGGAGGTTTGAGAGGACCTGGAGCTCAGCACGCAGGCAGGCAACCCAGCGCACAGCATAGCTGGAGGACTATTCCGACTCTAGATCTCAAAATACAACTAGAACTAAATTCAACATGGGCACTGTGCTCCCAGGCCAGAAACTCCCAGCCCTATTTACAGAAATGCAAAGCTCCTGGAAGGAGCTAACAAAACCCCAGAAAGGCTGCTTTCAAGCAAGGCAACAGGCTGCTGAATGAGCTGTGTGAGACTAGAGTGTGTTCCTACAGCAGAAAGCCAGGTCACCTTTAAAAGGATCATAGGAAACCAAAATGGGACTTAGAAAAGAAACCAACAGCAAGCCTAGGGCTGCTCCAAGGGTGTTTCCCCCTCACTCCAACCCCCCTCATCAGCAGTCTGAGAAAAGTGGAAATGATCACAGAAGGAAAGCTTCTGAGGCCCCTATAGATGACCCAGGGCTGAACCCAGCCAGGCAGGGAACACAGCACATTCATTTAAAATGAATGAATGTTAAGGCAGAATTCCTTGAAAGGACCAGTCAGAGACTAACAAGACATATCCCTACCCCAGACAACAGAGCCTCACCCGCATCCACTTGGGTCTCCTCCCGCTGCAGGGATTCTGTCTTTCCACTAAACCTTCCTATCGCTATTCTTCCTCCCTGAACTCACTCTTCGATTTCGCGAGACAAGGAACCTGAACGCCACCACTTGGTTTCATCTTTGGGGGCTCATCCTGGAGTCTACAAAACGGGAAGCAATACGAACAGCAATACGGACTCTATCCCTTCACTCTCCTTTGCTCTGTTTTATTGGGAGGAAAATACATCGGGACCCTGTCGGCCACTTAAAAGTGAATAGCGCGGCTGTCGTTCCTCGAGACACAGGGGCCAGCCTTCCTCGCAAAGATCAGCTCAATCCCCCGTTTATGGGAACGTTGTGCTGATTCTGAGCCGATTTCTCTTTCTGAAACCAGGGTTTTGGTCTCCCTGATGGACCACCCTTTACGGGCACAGGCCAGCCATTTAGGAGCCTGGATAAACCAGTCTCGGAACAGGCAAGGCTGCACTAGGCAGCCCTCCGGTCTCCAGCAAACATCTGAGCATCGCAGGCACACTATGAAAAAGCAAACCCTGGTCCACCCCCGGCCCTAATCACCCACGAGGTGTTTTTCTGGAGACCACAGACTTGTTTCTCCTCTCTATCACTTTCCTTTCCTGTCGTTCTGCACGAAATCGGATGAAGGGAGGAGACAGGAGTCCCTCGAGTCCTAACCTCAGTCAGCTGACCTGATGGCAGGTGTCCAATTGAGCGTGAGCAGACAACTCTTCCTCATGGCCAAGCCTCCCTGGCACTGACTCCACAGGCTTGGACTTCTTCACCACCATCTGTAGACTGTTTCTGGGGGAAGAGGGCATATGGACTCCAGGTAGACTCGTAGGACAGGCATATTCCTTTAATGGACAACACGGGCAGACACAGCTCCTGAGAATTACTGAACATATGGAACCCTCCAAACCCTTTGCCTGAAGCCTCTCCTCATCCTCATCCTGAGAGGGGCCCA